TATTATTTTTTTCTAACTTGACCAGAGAGTAACAGAAAAAAAGGAAAGTAAGACAACAAGCTGCCAGGTCTGGGACTCGAACTGTGGTCGGCTATGTGGGGGTCCAGCACCTTAACACCATGCCACCTGCTGGTCCCAGCAGCCTACTTTTTAAAAGTTAGGTTTGGTGGGATAAACCTAAAGACCTTGGTCTTGTTGGCAAAAGGCAGATGTTTTTGGTGCATTTTTATTGCCTGTTTTTCAAAATGTACTTATTACATTTTATCCTAAATCCTACTCTCTTGGCTGTTATGTGGTATGTTCAGTAGACACTTCTACAAGCATCAGTTATAGCCTTAGGTCAAGAGAGCACCTCACTCACTTTCGGTCCCTTAGGTAATTTACTCAGGTCCCATTATCTGACATTTAAAGGCAAGTTTATGAGAGAAAAACACCAACAACATAAATCCCAGTAGTTTGGAGGTAAATTAAAAATCTCCCAAATCAGTACTTCCTTTAAATGTTAAATAATTCACTGTGGCATTATAGATACAAGCCTCCAGCGAAAGTTACACTTGAACAATTAAGGAAGCAAAAGCCAAACAAAAGACTTCAGGGGTGGAAACAATTTAACGGTTTCTCATAGTAACTACACCAAATCACTTTTTCTTTTCTTTTTTTTTTTTTAACGGGAGATTTTTTGCTATAGGGCGTGTGAGCTCATTGGACACAGACCGAGAAGGAGAGCCAGAAGGAGAGAAATCACCCCCCAGGGGATGGCTACACTGCAACCCCTTCTACTTTATTCTCTTCTTGGGATACTGAGCACGCATGCACACACACCTTGGGTGTTTAAAGCTGCCAGTGTGGGACTTGAACCGCAGTCAACCATGAGGGAGTCCAGCACCTTAACAACTATGCCAGCTGCTAGCCCCCCCAAAATAATTTTTTCTCATTAATAAGTGTATATAAAAAACACCCAGCACACCAATGACTTACTAGATTAAGTTTGATTATAGAAAATATCCTGAAACTATATGCCGGGATTCTTCCCTAAATGTAATTGTGGATTCTACACACTTGGCTATGAAACCCACTTACATCATTTGGAAAGATTTTAATGTTTATAATGCACGTCTACTCTTCTGTAAAGGTGTTTTGCCCAGATTGCTCAGATTACACCATCTACCCAACAAGATACGTAAAGTATCAGAAGCAATGCAGTCGTACTGTAGAGCTAGATAAGAAATTAGAAACACGAGGTCACATTGCAGTGGATGCATATGCAGATAATCGCCCCTGTGTAGCAGGAGGTATACACATCTTAGAATGAAAATAGAGGTACAGGTGGTAGAGTGTGCTGATCTGCAGTACTGAAAACCATGCAGGAGGCTGGAGGTTCAGATCCTGGGTGAACCTGAGCACACTGGTTGCTTGTGTGCATGCGCATCATACTGGTTAGCTGTAAGGCCAGGGTGGGGACTGTGGTCTAATGAAACCCTTGAGTCAAGGGTAGCTATCTCTCTCTCTTCCTCTCTCTTAAGAAATAAGATAAATTTTAAAAAATAGTATTTTAATCTCTTCCCTACCATTTTCTACCTAGAAAAATTTAGGCAAATTCTAATCACAGTACTGGTCATCTCTTCTGTAAAATGGGAATGATCCACTTATGCACCAAAATTTTTTTTTTTTTAGAGGTTTTTGCCATAGTGCGTGTGGTGCTCGCCAGACAGAGACAGAGAGACAGAAAGCGAGAAATCACCCCCCAGGAGGGATGGCCACATCGCAGTCCCTTCTCCTCCATTCTCCTCTTGGGATCTTGGGCACACACACACACGCACCCAGAGTGAGTTTTAAGCCACAGCGTCTGGGACTCAAACCGCGGTCGACTACATGGGAGTCCAGCAACATAGCCATTATGCTAACTGCTGGTCCCTGCACCAAATATTTACAGCACACCTGCTTATGTGTCAAGTAGTACTTTTTCAAGGGTTATACTATAATTAGAGATAATAAAACATAACTGGTGGACATTGGACAGATGTGCTGTTACTCAAATATACAAGCAGAAGGCTGACCAATAAGATAGGCAAAGGCAGCAGCTAGAAACCACTGGGTTCCTACTAGGAAGGAAAGGACATGGGATATAAGGTGATGTGAAGTCCATTTGCTTCCCAGGGACTAACAGGTTATCAGTGTTTACTCTAGATTTGTATGTATTTTCTCTAGTTAGCTCAATTAAACTTAGCCAAGAGTTTTCTACAAAAGTTATAAAGTTTTGAGCTCTAATTCAAACAGCGTTTTGGGAAGAATGTACATGTATTAAATACTTGCCAAGTTGCTTTCCATTTAGAAGTTCTTCAAAGCATACTTATAACACTGTTTTTGACATATTAATTTTATGACTAGTCTAATCTACAACTGAAATAAACTTTTTGGAATAGACTAGAAAAGTGTAATGGATTTAAAAAATACATGAGACTTGGAGGGAAGAAGAGAACTACAATTTTTCCCATTTGTCAGTTGTATAACACGAAAAAGTCTCAAGTGCTTTTTTTTTAAAGTTTATTTCTTTCATGATAGTGAGAGACAGAGAGAAAAAGAGAAAGAGAGAGAGAGAGAGAGAGAGAGAGAAACAGGCACCTCCAACAGGGTCTCAGCCTTCCTGGGAGCACACATGTATGTGCATGGCATGAACAGATGAACTGGGCAAAAGAACCTGTGATCTCCATATACATCTAGCATCACTTGAGCAGTCTGTTACCACAGCACCTGTGAGCTGGCCCAAGATTTTTGAACCTGTTTCCTTAAGTAAAATTTTTTCTTTTCTTTTTCTTGGGGCATGGCGGCACCCGCCCTATGGCAAAAACTGCTGGAGGCTGGAGGACTGTGGCACTGAGCCCATCTCTCTCTCTTTCTGTCTCTCTTTTAGTTTTTGCTATACTCACGAGAGAGAGAGAGAGAGAGAGAGAGAGAGAGAGAGAGAGAGAGAGAGAGAAGGAAAGTTGAGAAGTCACCTCCAAGGGGGATGACTGCACTGCAATTCTTTCTCCTCCAGTCTCCTCTTGAGATTTTGGGCATGCACACACAGGTGCCTAGCGAGATTTTGAAGCTGCTGCATCTAGGGCTCCAACTGCACACCCAGCCATGTGGGATCCGGCTGCCTTAATCTTCACACCACCTGCTGGCCCTTAAGCATAACAACTTTAACGTTTGACATTATTATAAAGATAAAATGATATAATTTTTTTTTCCTTTTGAAAAGGAATTTTGCCAAGGTACATGTGCACTTGCCAAAGACATAGAGAATGAGGGAGAGGAGAAGGCACTCTGCATGAGTAATGATCACCTTACAATTCTTTCTCCTCTATCTCTCCCTCCTTTCAGGATTTTGGATGCATATGCACACACATCCAATGTGTTTCTCAAACTGCCAGGTCTGGGACTTGAACTGCACTGTTTACTGTGTGGGATCCAGCTGCCTTAACCACTAGACCATGAAGCTGGCCCAAATGTCCAACTGCCATAAAAATTATTAGTAACTTAAAAGCACCAAACAAATACAAATTATTTCAGAGTGAACAGGAACTAAAAATGATGCCTAGCTATCCCTTTCAGTGAAGACACCTGTATGGATAAATGGTAAAAAGGTCTACAAAATTATACTGCCTGGAGGAGTGGTCATGTGTAGACATGACAGTAATCTTTGTTTGCTTGTTAATGACGAAGGATTGCTGAACTTCAGAGCAGGCAAGTAATCATCATCTCTAAATATTATGACAGAAAAAAAGCATTTATGGGTAAGACAGCGGGGGGAAAAAGTCAAAGATGTGGATTGAGTTTAAAGTAAATCAACAAGGTCAATTAGCCACAACCCAGTTTCTAGAAATGCTTGTTTGTTTGTTTTTTTATTTTTTTAAGTGAGGAAAATTTCCTTGTCATCCATATTTTTAGGTTACTTTTCATTGTATATGCCAAGCCTACAGATGCCTACAGATTGTTACTTCCCCATAAGCTTTTGCCACAGTGCCAAGTATACTCCTAGGATTAAATAAAATTATTGCTGATATACTGTTACTAAACATATATATATATGCAGTGCTTTTTTAAAAAACAAAACTAAAACTTTCAAGTTTATTTTATATAAAGGAGAATATGGGTAATACATACTTAAAATGTATTGATATAAATGTGTAAGATGTAAAAAATTCTGACTCTAGTACCAGTAAAAACTTCTCTACCATAAAAATAAGCAAAATAAAATGAAAGCTACAGCACTGAGGTACACTACTTTCCTTAAAATGGTGTTGGGTTGTCAGAAAAGTCATGACACATTTTTGCATAGAAAAACAGAAAAATACGTCATAACTTTCCTGACGACATAATAGTAGCATCAATCTTTCCACAACTAGGTGTCATTTTGAGTAGGTTTAAAAATCACATATTTAGATGGCACAGTCGGTAGCACACTGCACTGCAGTGCTGGAAGACACGTGGCCAACTGATGTTTCGGATCCGCGGCGCAGCCGCCCTGAAACATACCTGTGTATGCCCAAGCTCCTGATGAGCTGGAGAGCTAAGGAAGGACACCCTAACTGATGAGATCTACTGAGGGTGCTTTATTCACTCACTCTCACGTGTGCATGCACTAGTCATCATAACTAAACTAAAACATAAACTTAAAAAAATCATTAATCCCAAACTAAAGGATATAAAGGTTTCTACAGAGACGTGACAACATAAGGGAAGGGTGCAGTAATGAATAGAAAAAGTTTACATACCCAAGGTAGAAATGAAGGTATCTGATACAAATGTGTTCGGGAATTTACTAGAGTTATGCATGGAGCTGCCCAAGACTATCAGACTTATTAGAAAGAATAAAAATCCATTTTAAAATCTTATATTTTAATGTATCTTTGAATCAGAGAATGACAAAGCTAGAAAGTGATCCCTACTGACCACTGTCCAATAAAAGAAAGTACAATTTAGAGAGCACTGTCCAAAGACTGATTCCTTCTTACCATGAGTAGATCCCGCTGACCATGTCGTAGTTCTCACTCGAGTCATTCACACTGCTGGGCCCGGCTGCTTTAGAAATAAGTAGTACCACCAAGCCCCTTAGCTGGAGGTTATGCCGGCTGTCATAGACAAACCCCCTGCCAAGTACAAAAAGAAGAAGATTAATTATACCTATACAGGATCATCAGATTAAGCTACAAAACCACCAAGAGTATATTAGAACTTCTAAGCTGGACAATGGGACTTAGTGAAAGAATACCTTGCTGGGGGGAGGAAAAAGAGTTAATGCGAGGAAGCGATGAGCTCAGGTGACAAGTAGAGAAACTCATGGCTGTTTTTATTTTTAAGAATTATTTTTTAAATTTTATTATTATTATTATTATTTTTAAATTTGCTACAGGGTACATGCACTTACCAGAGAGAGACAGAGAGAGGCAAAGTGAGAGAGCAAGTCACCAGTTCCAGGACTTAAACTGGGTGGGCCATGTGGGAGTCCAGCGTCTCAACTACCATGCTGCGGGCTGGTGGCTGGTTTTTAAAAAGTTGTGAAGCTTGAAGATCTGGCTCCTTTCTCTTTCTGGGTCTTCCCACTGTCTGTATCCTGCCTCTCAATCTTATTTGCTGTGCTAAGAAGAGGAACACATGGTGTTTAAACAGCTTTCTAGTTAACTGATGGCAACTGACATAAACTATGGCATGGATGAAGGGATATTATTTGGTGACGATGATACTAACAGAGAGTGGTAAAAAATGATTTGTCTTCACAGGTAGAGAAGGTGCTCAGACAATGAAAGGATTAACCAAATCCAAATTATAATACTCTAAATGTATCCCATATGTAAATGAAAATAAATGCCATCAGTAAAAAATCTTGCTGGTTCCTACTACCAGCAAGCATTATGGAAAGCACAGCCCAGGAGTGAAGAGAGCCAGATTCCATATGGCCAACCACAATTCAAATCCCATCCCAAGGGCCTTGAAAAGCATGCTGGGTATATGTGTATATGCCTCAAATCTCAATGGGATAGAGAAATGGAGGGCAAGGAATTGAAGTATGACCATGCCCCACTGGGGAGTGCTTACTCCCCTCCTTCTCTAGCAAGCACATGCATACTCTGGCAAATAAAAATAAAAAGTTAGGGCCAGCCTGTGAGTAGTGGGTAAGACAGCTGGACTCCACGTGGCCCACAGTACAGTTTGAGTCCCAGACCAGGCAGCTTAGAAACATGCCAGACATGTGAACGTGCATGCCCAAAATTCATAAAGGAGGGAAAAGTAAAGAAGAAGGGATTGTGGTGGGACCATTTCCCATGGGGAGTGCTTTCTCACTCTCTCTTTCTCTGTCTCTCTCTAGTGAGCACACCTTTTTTTTTTTTTTAAGATTTTTTTGTTTGTTTGTTTTGTTTTCTTAAAAGAGAGCATTATTGTTCCAGGCAATAATAAGGCCTAAGAATGTCATGTTTCTTTGCTATAAGGATTGAACTTTTATCATTTCTGCTATAATTGAAGCTAAGAATACTTTTCAGAAATATATTTTCTTTTTAAAATATTGTGAATGGTTGTCATACAAAAACTAAATGGCATCACAAAAAAAAGAGAAAAAAAGAACTGAAAAGAAAGAAGTATATGGACAATATATTACAACAAATTAATATTTAGAATAATGTTTGTGAAAGTCCGATACAGCACACACAAGCAATACACAAACATCGTTTCTGAATGTGGTGAAAATACATTAAAATTAGTATTATAATACTTGAATTATTGACTTCCTTTATGAGTTTTGAACAAAGAATCAGTTTAAGTTAATTAAGTTAACACAGTCGAAAATAATGAGTCCATTACTGAAGAAAAATCTTTGTCTCTTAGGTTGCCAAACAAAAATGTTAAAGAAGGTCCTTTCTTACTTCTCTGTTACAAAGTAAGATAAATCTTCATGTTCTCTACAAATTAACAGCTATTGCTTCTTCTCTGCTTTCTCCTTAACCCAGTAAATGATTTTTCAGCAAGTTAGAAGGGTTAATATTTGTGAAAAATAACTTCTAATTTCCCAGGAAAAGAAAGTTAAGATAACTAAGTTACATCACAAAAGAAGCAAATAATCATAGAAATGTCCCAAATTCTTTATAATAGAGAAATTGCATCAGGAGGGTCAGAAGCTTCCTTGAGAGATGGTGACAGAGTTGAACCCAAAGGAGGAACGGATGTGAAAGAAGGGGGCGGGAAGAGAGCAGGTAAGGGCAGGGCACTCACAGCACACGAATGAGCACATTCAAGGCTGGAGCCCTGTAGAAATATGGCTGGAGCACACAGGGACCAGACCAGACAGGCCAGACAGATCCTGATCAGAGGCCTGCTCTCTATTCAAAGAGCAATGCGAAGGCATTGCAGTATTTTATTTCGCGACCAATGACATAACCAGATATTTCTGAAGATAAAGAAAATATTGGGTCATCGGAAAAGTCGTGACAGAGTTTTGCATAGAAAAACAGAAAAAGACATCATGATTTTTTCAATGACCCAATAGAATCTTCTATCATCAATGTGGAAAAACAACTTGGCAGGGGCCGGCAGGTGGCGTGGTGGTTAGGGGCGCTGGACTCCCACATGGCCAACCACCATTCGAGTCCCGGACCTGCTTTCTCACTCAGCTTGCTTTCTCACTTTCTTACTCTCACTCTTGCTCTGTCTCTCTCTGGTCAAATTAAATAAAAAATTGAATAAATAAATAAAGTTAAATAATTCTTAAAAAAAATAAGAAAACAACTTGGGTGGAGGAGAAAGGAGGAAACTCTGGATAAGCAACCCAATTAGAAGGCTTCTGCAGTATTCAGTGAGAAATATGAGGATAGTTTGGTGGATAAACTAGAGATGTGACAAACCTAAGGTAATATTTTGATGCAATTTAAATGGATGTTGCATATTATATAGCCCTGGATAATGAGCTAATATAACTACATCACTAATTTTAAACAATCAATATTTTTCTTCAAAGTCTATAAGCTGAATTTTGAGAGGAGAAACTTGGCTTTCTCCAAAATTCTGCTTCAGGTCTATAAGAGATGAATGGTAAATACTGATAACACCAATATTCTAACAGCTAGCCAATAGAAATAAAAATTGAGTAGGTGACATTTTTTTTTTTTGGAGAGATTTTCACTGTAGGGCGCGTGCGCTCGCCAGACAGACAGAGAGAGACATAGAGACAGAAAGCGAGAAATCACCCCCCAGGGGGGATGGTCACGCCGCAATCCCTTCTCCTCCATTCTCCTCTCGGGATCTTGGGCACGCACGCACACGCACCCGGCGTGAGTTTTAAGCCACCGGGTCCGGGACACGAACCGCGGTCGACTACGTGGGAGTCCAGCGACATAGCCATTATGCTAACTGCTGGTTCCCAAGTAGGTGACATTTTTGGCAAGTCAGCTCTATATCCTTTTGACATCATGCTTTAGATGGCAGGCTGTAGTTCTTACTGCATCATGTCTTTCTACAGCTATTAACTAATTTTCTCCTTAACTCAATTGTGAAAGGATCTCTGATCCTCAAACCATCATATGTACCTCTCCATACATCCTCTCAAATTCCATTTCAACAAATGTGCCAAGTATGGGGTATATAAAGGAATAAGAGCTATAAGGAAGGAGCTATACTGTTGGTTCAAAATATGGTTAAACAGTTATGAGCACACTGAGGAAGAAAGAAAATTGCTTCTTCCTAGAGGTGTTCCTCATAGCAGAGGCAACATGCAGACTGAGCTTGAAAGATGGTCGAATTTCCCTGACAGAGCATAGAGGTAGGAATGGATGGGGATGGGGTTACTGTAATGGAAACAAGGATATTTTAGGAAAACGAAACAGGATAAGCAGTGACAAGGAGGTAGAAGAATGGAGAGCTGGTTTAGGAGCTGAGGGACTATCCATTTAGGCAATGTGTGAGGGTGAACAAGCCCAGAAAAACAGACCGCCTAGAGAGTGACGGCCTTGAAGTCAGGGTTAGAGTCTGCACTTCATTCTGCAGGCAATCTGGAGGCATGGATGGCTTGTCAGCAAGGGAGCAGCATGATTAGAGCTAAAGACTAAAACTGTTACTCTGGGTCTAATACTGTTACACTGGCGATAGCATGTCGGGTGCAGTGGAAAGAAGAGGGAAGATTAGTTAGGAAGGGCCTTTCGCAGTGTCCAGGTGGGAGGGAGATAATGAAGGCCTAAATTAGGATAGTAGCAGCAGGGATGGCGAAAAAAAGCTGAATGATGGTAACAGCATGGAGGGGAACAGGTTAGTCTGGCCAACCGACTAGATGATGGAGGCCGTGGGGAAGGATCAAGAAGCAAAGGAAAGGTAGGGGCTGAATTTAAGTTTCAAACCAGTTTGCTGGAGGTGATGATGCTGCCATTAGTAGGGATTGGAAAGAGGAAGGAGAGCTAATGGGGAATTAATGAGTTCAGGTTTGGACATGTTAACTTTGAAAGCAAGAAGGACTTCCAGATGGAGATGCCCAGCAGGCAGCTGGAAAGGCTGTGGATAGAGATTTGGGAAGCATCTTCATTGAAGTGATGGCTGAAGCAGTAGGAATTGATGGATGGGTTTTTGAAAGAAAAGAGAAAAGGAAAGGGAAAGGAAGGCAAGGAGAGGGAAGAGAACAGGAGTGGGAAAGGCAGAGATGAGATGGGCAGGAGTGAGATGGGAAGACCAAAGGAACCTCGCAGAATTCCTGTGTTCAGGGCACTGAGGAAGGGTGAGTAACCAACATGAAGGAATGCATTATGTTCACAGGCAAACAAGAAGTGTCTCCACAGACACTGATGAAGAAGTATGTATATACATGTACAATAGTGACTGAGAACTACAGCAGTACGGTGACAGAAACTAGGGCCAGTCATGGCCTCTACCATGGGCCTTTACAGTACCTGTTAGAAACCCCTAGTTAGACACCTAATACATTGCGTAACAGAAATGGTAGCCATGACTACTCTAACACAATGTAGCATACATGATGCCAGGCTTCTGTTGTCTTACATACATATACTCTAATCCACACAAAAATCATGTAAGATAACTAGTAATGGCTCTTTACACTGAGAAAAATGGGCAAAAAACCTTAGAAAAGTTAAATAATTACTAACCACCCTTAATC